GACTTTAGCTGTTGCGGCGCGGCGCGACAACTGTCGCGTCCGGTGTAGACACGGTGTTACCCACCTATCGAGAAGAAACAAAGCAACCTCTGCGTCCGATCGCAGGCCTTCCGCTCCTTGAGTTCTCTCCAGCGCTGGAAAGCTGATCCGATATTTACACGGGTCCTACTTCTTGCCTTATCGTAAGCCTTCTTTTGTTCCGTAGACGTTTTCCTTGTTTTTATCTCTCTATCTTTCCTCGGCTCGGCTCGGCTCGGCTAATGTCCGTCCTGTGCACTGAGCGCTCTCTCCTCGGCATCATGAGTAGACACGCCCCTTACTGCTGATTGGCTACAAGTTTGTTTTGGTACTCTGCCCGACTCAGTTTTCTAAAGCGTTTTTGAAAAAATACATGCCCCACCTTTAAAGTTAAAAATAGAGCAAATGCATTTAAAATCCAATGCATGGAAGGCAGATTAGTGCCATTTGGTAGGAGAAATACAGAAAATCATATTTAATTCCATGTTGTAACAACTAGATGCCTGTGTAGCCCGATATATAAATATATGTAGGCATGTATGTTCTCTAAATGCTTACAAGAGTATATGTAGACACGACTACATACTTTTAGTAGGTTTTGCATTTTAATATATATTTAGACATGATGAAAGAAAAAATTGCTCGATTTTGATTAGATTTCCCATTCATATACTATGGTGGTAGTTATTTGTGATAAATTATAATTTTTGTGTTCATATAGCAAGTGCCGCTAAAGTCACCAACTTTTGTACCAATTTGAATAAATAAAAAAGTTTTGATAAAATTATGCTGAACTGGTTTCTGTTTTGTGTCATTTTTGATTAAGTTCATTGTTTCTGTCACAGCACCCCAGAGCAGGAATCAGAAGAGAGGAAGTGCAATTACGAGCGCTATAGAGGTCTGGTGCAGAATGACTTTGCGAACAGTGAGTTTCTTTTGATTTCATTCTGCCTTTTTTTTTCTTGGAACAGTTGTGACCCTTATAATGTTACTGATAAACTTGAAAGAATCCACAAAGAATGTTCTTGTCATGTTGTAGTCTCCGAGGAACAGTGTCTGTACCAGATCTATGTGGATGAACTCTATGGTGGCCTACAGAAACCAAATGAGGATGAGAAGAAAAAGTATGAACTTGTGCATCAGTACTTAAAACAAATGTGGCTAAAAGTACATTCTGTTAGATGGATCACTTCATAATTTTTTTTCACTGTTAGACTCGCTGAGAAGAAAGCTCAGATCGGTTATACATATGAGGACACCACAGTGACTGAACCAGATGAACAGATGGAGAAGGGAAGTGAGGATGACTCAGAAAACAGCGAGTCTGAGGAAGACGAAGTCATCCCTGATATCGGTGTGTTTTTCATACACTACACACTTCCTGTTAGGATAATTCATTTTAAAATGTAGAAACACTTTAGATATGTCATTTAATTTAATATAGAAGGTAACGCCTTTTTCAATATGTGTGTGAATGCTTTCCCAATTTGTAGATGTTGAGGTGGATGTAGATGAACTGAACCCAGAGCAGGTGACGGAGATTAACAAGATGGCCACCACTTATGGCATGGCAGATGAGGACTTTGTATGGTTCGTTCGCTGATTCTTTAACTAAATCAATGAAATGCAAACTTATCAGAGGAAATTCACCACTTGAGCATATTTGGAGAAGATCTGAATGAATGCATTCTATTGATCTTGTACTTTTTCGATAAACATGATGTGTAGATAAAATCCAGTTGTTTTTTATTTTAGGATGTTGAGGAAGGACAAGGAGGAAGTGGAGGCCATTAAGCATGCAAAAGCACTGGAGGCAGAGAAGGCCATGTACTCTGTATGGGCAGAATCTTTTGAACTTCCTCCCGTTTAAGATGTTTGCATTTGATTATTAGTATTTGTAATAGTAATGTTGTTCTGTTTCCATCAGGGCCGGCGGTCTCGCAGACAGCGAAGAGAGTTTAGAGAGAAGTATATGAAAGGCAGGCAGATCAGCCCACCCAGGTAACAGCCCATACAATATAAGCTACAAATTTCCACAGATAAGCAACAGTGTTTTGTGTCACTGATTACCCAATAATTAACTGACATGTAAAATTGTGTATATACAGTGGGTACGGAAAGTATTCAGACCCCCTTAAATTTTTCACTCTTTGTTATATTGCAGCCATTTGCTCAAATCATTTAAGTTAATTTTTTTTCCTCATTAATGTACACACAGCACCCCATATTGACAGAAAAACACAGAATTGTTGACATCTTTGCAGATTTATTAAACAGAGCATAGCATAGCAGAGCATCGTGTCACTGAAGGTAGCATTATTTTAGCAGCGTTGCCCAGTACAGCTGAACTAGCCTACACCATGTTACAGCACAGTAGCGCTACTGCAAACTGGAACAAGTATACGGCATAGAAATTTCCTGTCAGCGCGTTCTTTGAGCGGACTTTGCTTTTCCGATGAGCATGAGCGGAACGCACATTCATAGATCGGAATATTGAGCGGAGCGTGTTCTTTTACTGAAAAACAGGTTGTGTGTAAATTTTTATTTCGATAAAAAAATCAAAACGACGGTGGGGGTCGGTGACGCGGTGGGCAAGTGACGTAACCGGTGTTGCGGCTTAACACCGGTATCACCGTCACCACCGTGTGTGTGTGTGTGTGTGTGTGAATGTTATAATGTGCACCAGTTACACACGTTGCTGATTATTTTTATTGAAAATTGATTAACTGAAATTAATTTATTATGTACATTTCAAAAACAGCTATGCCAGAAGAGACAGTCCTACATACGACCCCTACAAACGGTAAGTGTTCATGGATTGATACTTTGCACATTAGTTTTGAATGTATAAATTGTAGGGTTGGGTACTGAAACCCGGTACCAATATGGCACCGGTACCCATGTAATCGGTATGTACTAGAACCGAATCAGAGCGCAGATTTCGGTGCCATGCCTGAGCGATCGATTAAAATATTTGTCCTCTGGTTCTCCGAAACGGACGTAAGAAGCATCATCACCGGCACCGCACATGAAAAATAATTTCCCGACTGAGAAAATGCACGTGAACTCAAGTAGGAAAGCTCTAATAATACAAATCCAACAAATCTTTGTAGTAAGGAGAATGTCCATGTTGTTTTCACATTCCAACTGTGTGAGAAATGAGAGCATCCGAGGAGCGCGTGAATGCAGTAATTACACTTGCTCTGACGGCAGCAGGTACCCTTCCGTTAACTAAGCTAAACATGCTTAAATTAAAATGCCTAAACCTAAACCTCCCTATGACTTTTCCAGGTTTTTCATGACTGTACGAACCCTATTGTGATGATCGGGTGCGGTTATCTAAATCAGACAAAAATACAGGTGTGGGCGGTTGGCGGGTGGATAATTTATTTGAAGCTGCGGATTTGGGTGACGTTTTAGCTCATCCGCGCATCACTATTACTCAGTTACAGCTATAATAGGGATGACTTTGTCCATATAAGGCATTTCTTGGAGGGTCATGAGTTCCGCTACTTCTGTGACTGGATATGTGGATTTTCTGTGCGAGGGCGCCCTCTGGCGTCCAGTATGAATGAAACGGGCATCATTTGTTATATTCTAATGGCCAGTCCATCATTTTTGGGGGAATTTTTATTTATTTATTTATTGTTTAATTAGTATCGGTTTAGGCACCGGAACCATTTTAAAAGTATCGATTTGGCACCGGTATCGAGAAAAGAAAAAAAAACGATACCCAACCCTAATAAATTGTCATATTAAGCACCAAAATCAAATTGAAATTCAGATTGCCCCAATATTGAAATTCTGACCAATATCTTTAAACTGATTTTCATGTTGCTGATATTAACCATTAAATGGCCAGTATTAAAAAGTCAAATAATATATTTAACTGTTATTAATGTTTTTAATGATTAGTTTTGAGTGTTAGAGGATGGCAAAGGTAATCTAAATGTCAGAATAGGGTAAATGAACAGGTACAATACAGTATGACCAAAAATTATAAATTTAAAAAAACTTCAACATCAATGATCAGTATGGGACAGATAACAGATATATTATGCATCAACAACTCAATACACTACCTGGGATCCGTGATTTTCTTTAAAAAAAAAAAATGAATTCATAAATTGATAAAGTGACACTAAATGACATTTATAATGTTACTAAAGATTTCTATTTCAAATAAATGCTGTTTTTTTTTTCTTCTATTCATCCTAAAAGTGGTTTCCATGAAAATATTAAGCAGCACAGCTGTTTTCAACATTGATACTAATAAGAAACATTTATGAAGCAACAAATCAGCATATTAGAATGATTCCTGAAGGATTATGTGACACTGAAGATTGGATTAATAGCCCCAAACTTTTTAATAGTAGTGTACATCATGTATTAATAATGTTTCTTACCACTCTATTTTCCCTCCTTTTTGTCCCAGGCCAGAGTCAGACTCAAGTTCAGAGTCACGCTCTCGTTCTCGAACCCCAGGCAATGATAAGATCACTTTCATCACCAGCTTTGGGGGCAGTGATGATGAGGGAGCCTCAGCTGCACAAGCCCCACCTGCAGCGGTGTCAAGCCACACCTCCTCCAACACCGCAGGTCATAGCAGGGGCTCCCGGTCGGTAACTTCCCCTTTCTACGTTATGGCTCCTTAGTGGCTTTTTTCTTCGTTTTTTCATAAGCTTGTTCAGCTGTGATAGCATGTAGCCAGTGTGCTAAGAGAATTGCCACAGGTTGAGCTTCAAAACGATTGGTGATGATTTAAAATAGAGACCAACCAAACCATTTTCTGTGTTGCCCATTTAGTATGTTGATTATTTTTGTGGCATATTAAGAGTTAAAACCGGTGTGGAATAATACAATTTTGACAACTGGAAGCTCTGTGGCTTGTCTTGTGATTTTAATAGATTTTTTTTGTAGGTTGCTCGTAATGACATAGCACGTTGTGTATTTCTTTTAGCCGAAGACGTTCTTCCTCCAGTCACTCGTCCTTTTCCTCCCACTCCTCTTCACATCGGTCCTCATGCTCATCCTCACGTTCCCGCCGGAGTCGTCAATCTCGTGGGGGCAGGGACCGCAACAGCCGTTACTCCAGGTCTCGCTCTCGCCGGCGGTCTGACTCCCGTTCACGGCAACGCAGTGGAGGAGTTGGCTCGAGGAAACGATACGACAGGACTAGGTCTCGTTCCACAGATCGGGGTAGAGACAGAAACCGTGAAAGAGACAGAGACCGGGACAGGGGGAGGCGCTACACAGGCCGCAGACGAACCAGGCAAGAGAGCTTGCTAAAGAATTTCAAACCCTTGTAGATTCTTTGATTTTATTAAGAAAAAAGGGGTTTCTTTTGTGAAATTGATTGGATGAAACTTTCTCCATCAGGTTTCGCTCACATTCTCGTTCAGGTGATCGTTACCAGCGGCGGAGTCGCAGCTCAGCATACAGGAGGGGCGGGAGCATCAGTCAAAGCCCCTCCCACTCACCTGCAGCGAGCCGCAGCCTTTCCCCCTCCTCCCATTCTGCTCCACCTACATCTGCTTCTGCAGACAAACTGAGAAAGTAAGTTGCAACAAACCTGTAAGCACTATAGATAGACTTTACATACTTTACATAAAAAAAGTCAGGGATGGGATTTTCCGCCCTGAGAAATATGACCCATGTAAATTCCATAAATTTGATAAAAAGAAATTTCCTGCTTTTTCAAATATATTTTATGTTATCCAAGTGCCAAATGGGAGTAAAAATTGGCATTGGCAAGTATATGAAACTGTTACTCACCAGTTCGCTGTTTTTGCGTTGGTTTTGAGAATGGGATATGGCCTAGTGCAATAATCAAATTGCAAAGATTATATTATACATATTAATTATATATATTTATATTTACTTCATAAAAGTCAGGAAAAAGTTCACGCAAAACCATGACCAGAAGGGAGACGCTTATAGAATTATATTAAAAGGCCTCTTACTTGCTAAAATAGTATAAACTATCAGATGACATAAGGCATGTATTAGACTTTGCCCAACAGGTTTTTCCACAAGGTTTTGATTAGGAGTGTGCACAAATATTAGAATATTCGATCTGTAATTATTATTATTCGAAAAATTAAAGCACTATTCGAATTTTACTACATGTTGCTTTGCTGGCCGTAAATGCAGGGAATCCATCATAAATCCTAAGCTCGCAAACTAAAAGTCAGTTATAACTAAGTGCACTGGGTGGCGCTGTGGAGCATGTTAACAAGTTGATTTGTATTTGATCACAGAATGTGGTCGTCTGCCTCGCAGAGTTTGGAATTATTTTGATCAAAATGATCTTACAAAGTGGATTTACTTTTGATCAAATAAATCAGTGAAACTGAAAGTGAGTTATTATAATATCACCACCATAATGAGAAATCACATGAAATCCAAACACCAGTCGACTGAGGAAATACAGCTGTCCATCACTGCATTCACGACTGCAGGTAAACACCGCTGTACCCTGAGTGAGCAGAGGAGAGCATCTGATCGCGAAATGATCCTGAGACATATGCTTTCTTTAAAGGGTCATGAAGCCCCCTGTTTCAGCACTGGTTAGTTCTCTCCACAGTTTAAAAAAAACGCTTTAAAAAGTGGGTGTGGTTTGCAGCGGAGTGGAGGGGGAAGAGGGGAGACAGACAACACACAGCTTTGCGTTCAGACAGTTTCATTTCGCTCCCATAGAGTTAAAAACACAAATTAATGCACAGCCATTTGCACTCTGCATCGAAAACATATATATGAACGTGCTGTTGCACCTCTGATAACATTTAAAGGGTCATGAAACCCCCTGTTTCAGCACTGGTTAGTCCTCACCACAGCTTTAAAAAAAGTGGGCGTGGTGTGCTGCGAGCGGAGGGGGAAGAGGGGAGACAGACGACAACACACAGCTTCAGTTTCATTTCGCTCCCATCAAGTTAAAAACACAAATAAATGCACAGCCATTTGCACTCTGTATCGAAAACATACATGAACGTGCTGTTGCACCTCTGATAACTTTAAGGCTTATTCTGCGACGATTATATAAGTTTTTTGACCAGTTGTGTCATGGAGCTGTAAAAACGGTTATACTCACTAAGTGAATGAATCGCGTTTGTGCCGAACTCTTATTAAAAAAGCAAAAACAAACACTCTCCTTCGATTCATGAACGTTTCCCTCAGTTCATAGCAAATCAACACATGCTGTTGTGAATATTTAAGCGAAGCGTCTTCTCAGGATAAGAACACGCAGTTTCATGAATAATTTAATAGACACCGACGCGTCATCGATGTACTATAGTCCATTGCCACGTCACAAATTTTTCTCCAGGGAGAGTGGTTTAACAGAAAGCACAAAGCGCTGTAAGAAACTTTGCTTAGCACACCGTTATCTTTGTGTTTGTGGAACTTCTGTTCTTATTGTTAGCAGACTGAAGAGGCAACTTTCATGTGCATATTATTGTTGTACAGTCATGGCCAAAAATTTTGGTAGTGACATAAATTTTGTGTTTTGCAAAGTTTGCTTCTTCAGTATTTGTAGATTATTTTTCCACGTTTCTATGGTATACTGAAAAGCAATGATAAGCATATCATAAGATTTAAAGTCTTTTATTGGCAAAAAAATATAATGAGTCAATATTTACAATGTTGGCCCTTGTTCTTCATAACCTCTGCAATTCGCTCTGGCATGCTGGATATTAGCTTCTGGGCCAAATCCTGACTGATGGTGATCCATTCTTGCCTTATTAGTTCTCAGAGTTGATCACAATTTGTGGGCTTCTGCTTGTCCACTCGCCTTTTGAGGACTGACCACAGGTTCTCTATGTGATTGAAATCTGGGGAGGTGCCTGACCACGGATCCAAAATTTCAATGTAATGATCTTCGAGCCACTTCTTTATCACTCTTGCTTTGTGACATGGTGCTCCATCATGTTGGAAAATGCACGGATCATCACCAACTTGCTCATGGATCGTCCAAGTCGCTCTTGCAGGACGTTTTGATAACATTCTTTATTCATGGCAGTGTTTTGGGGCAGAATTATGAGAGAGCCCACTCACTTGGTTGAAAAGCAACCCCACACATGGATGGTCTCAGGATGCTTCACTGTTGGCACAACACAGGACTCATGGTAGTGTTCACCTTTTCTTCTCCGAACAATCGATTTTCCAGATGTCCCAAACAGTCGGAAGGGAGCTTCATCAGAGAAAATAACTTTGCACCAGTCTTCTGCTGTCCAATCCTTGTACTTCCTGCAGAATTTCAGTCTGTCCTTGACGTTTTTCTTGGAGAGAAGTGGCTTTTTTGCTGCACTTCTTGACACCAGGCCGTTATCCAAAAGTCTTCGCCTCACTGTGCATGCAGATGCTCTCACACCAACCTGCTGCCATTCCAGAGCAAGCTCTGCACTGCTGGTGACACGATTCTGTAGCTGACTCCTCAGGAGGACACTGTTCTGGCGCTTGCTGGACACTCTGGGACGTCCAGATTGCTAACAAGAACACAATGATTGGAAGCGCTTCTTCCCTCCTTTTATAGCAATCAATCTGCACTTACAATCTAATTAATATGGTAGTGATTTTACCTGAGTAGTACTCATTCACACTTTCACGTGCTGCTGATATGATTAGTCAATTAATGTGTGATCCACTGAACTGTATTAAACGCTAAAACCAGGCGCGACTCGTCTATATGGGCACGTGGGGCAGAGCCCCACCAAAATATTCATCAACAACATAGACCTCTATATAAACTGAAACAATAATAAATGTGTTCAGCATTCTGCAACAAATATTCTTCAGATTTTCGATACTATTTTAAGTCGTAAAGTAAGCAGTATATATTAAAAACCCGGGCATGGCTTTAGCAGGCATGTATACATGATACTAAGCGGGGCAGACGGTGCCTGAGACCTCCTGAGCTCAAACGCAAGGACATCTCTGCCAAAATTTTGTCCGCATGTGTTCAGAGATTAGAATATAAAGTTTACAAAATGTTTTTCATATATTAGTGCTACGACCCAGAATCTGCCCCACCTTAAATTTTCGGTCAGGAGCCGCTACTGGCTAAAACAATGGCATACAAGGATAATGATAAAACTATGTTTTTACTAGCGGACAAATACAGTGAATACTGTAACATTCGTTAAAGTTACTTACTTGACGATGTTGTGTCCTAATCCAGCATCTTTTGCATATTTGAACCCTTTCCAGCAGTGACTGTATTTTGAGATCCATCTTTTCACACTGAGGACAATTGAGGGACTCAAACACAACTATTAAATAAGGTTCAAACATTCACTGATGCTCCAGAAGGAAAACTGAAGAATGTGCAGGAGCTGGAGGATTTTTCTGAAGAACAGTGCTCAGTTTAACTGAGAACAAACAAGGGACTCATGAACAACCATCACAAAACAAAAATCATCCAGATCATCCAGGTAACCACACACAGTATTAAGAACCAAGGGTTCCCAAACTTTTAAATGTGGTTATTTTAATCATTTCAGCTATTTTTCTTCTTGTGGACTAAATGTAAACATCTTTTATTTAAAATATCTTATTCAGGAAAGTACTAAAAATAAATAACATGCATTTTTTATGATCTCTCTTATTTTGTTAAAATTATTAACATCTTCACAGATTCTGCAAGAGGTTCCAAAACTTTCGCATGCCACTGATAAAACATTAAACATTTTGTTGGCAGAAAAAATAAAAATCACACTTAATGAGTAAACTGCTTTTAAATAGCATGCATGCTCTAATTTATTTTTGGTTTTGTGCTGGTATTGGTATATTTTGCATGCTAGTGATAGGAATCTATCCCTTGACGTGATTGGTTATTGGATTGTGACGTAGCAAACCGAGGGCTGTTTCAAACCCCATTTCTGGGACTGCCATTAGGGAAACTACAGTTTTAAGGAGAAAATACTCAGCATGAGCTTGAGTGCTTTTGTTCTTTTTACAGTGGCATGTGAAAGTTTGGGAACCCCTTGCAGAATCTGTAAAAATGTGAATAATTTTAACAAAATAAGAGAGATCATACAAAATGCATGTTATTTTTTATTTAGTACTGTCCTGAGTAAGATATTTCTTATTTTGTTAAAATTATTCACATTTTCTGCAAGGGGTTCCCAAATTTCGCATGCCACTGTATATATATATAAAATTTAACACACGTTTTCAACTAAATGAAAACCTTGAGATATAACTTTACGTTGTTGTAGAACATTGTTTATGATGCCTAATCATAAGCTTGTTCAGAAATGGTGCCAAAAACTTGATTATTAAAAACTAACTTATTTCTGTTAAATGTAATTTAAATAAATGAATATTCAAATATTTGTTCTTTATGAGCCCAAATATTCGAATACAGTATTTTTGAAAAATACCCATCCCTAGTTTTGATCATGTTGATACGGGGTAGAGACAGAAACCGTGAAAAAGAGAGAGACCGGGACAGGGGGAGGCGCTACACAGGCTGCAGAAAAACCATGATACCGTAGGGTTTATAGGGTTAAGAAGTATTAGTATTCCAATTTTATTTCTGTAAAATTAAATTAATATTCTATGTTTTTATTATTATTTATATTTTTGTCAAATGCCTCAAAAGTGACAACTGACCAAAAATTCTGTATCTTTTTTTTTTCTTCCCTAGGCCTGAAAATTCGGGTGGTAAAGAGACTGGAGCTGCCAAAGTCAGTAAGAATTTGATGTATCTCGAATTTGTTGCTAAAGACTCCGCCTCCCTCACCCCTGACAGGCTGATGCAGTTAACAATCAGGCTGGGGCTCCTGCCCATCTCTTGGCTCTTCAGAGAGCCCTTGTTCTCATTTTAGATGTGTTTTTGATTGGCTGTACACTTGGTGATCAGCTGCCCTCTGTTTGCAGAATGCAGTGGTCTTTTGAAGAGCAGCCATATCTGAACTTACCCAACTCCTATGTTTTTACTAGCGGACAACTACAGTGAATACTGTAATATTCGTTAACGCTACTTACTTGACGATGTTGTGTCCTAAAATGCCTTGAAGACTTGAATGCAGCCGTTTGTGATTCTTAATTCGCGCCCGCGAGCATACGCGTGTGAAGTGCAGACGCCGATGCAGGAGAGGTGGGTCTGACTCCGGGCTACTTTTACACTATTGCCACGGGTTATAATGCAAGTTAGCGGTTGTAAATTCACATTAAACCACGGCTTCATGGGTTTTTTGCTCTAATTTATTTTTGGTTTTGTGCT